ATGGAGGACAGCCGCCTCCCCAAGCGCATGCTGTTAGGAGCGATGGCGGGGGGCGTGGGATACCGGGGCGGGCAGGAGAGCGACTGGGTGTCTCGTCTAGGAGAGGACCTCGTGGCCTTCAACATGGGAGACGAAAAGGAAGGGGGGAAATGGAAAGAGAGCGCCAAGGACCCGGAGGTGTGGTACAACAAGGTCGAGGACGGGGCGGCATGGTTCATGAGGAACAGGCATAGGCAGGAGGCCGAAGCGTCCGCAAAGCGCCAGGGCGCGAGGGAAGCAGAAGCAGAGAGTACGACTATCTCAGGACCGAAGAGAAAGAGAACCGGCGAAGCGGCGGTGGGGGGGAAGAAACGGCGACCGGGCACTTCTGTAGAAGCGACTAGGGCGGCCGAGGCAGCGCTTGTGGCGAACTATGGACCCGGCTGATGTTGTTGCGCCCTGTTTCCCTCCCTGCTGTATGCTATACTCCTTTATGTATGTCCTTTGTATTGCCTTCGGCCCCTGTGCTGTGTTTCTCTTTTTCATGACCTCCCTGCCTACTCTGCTGTGTTGGGTACCTTGATCTCGCTTTGCTGTTGCCTTTGTTTTTGTACGTCTGGCTGTCTGCCCATCTGCCTCCTCTTTGCCCTGTTTGCTCCGTTACTCCCATGCCCTGGTGCGTGGTGCCTGGTGCTGGTACGTTACCCTTTGATTTTTTCTTTGGGCGGGTATGGGAAGCGTCCTCCTTCATTTCTGTTTTTGTTTTATTTTGATCGGTGTCCGAGGGCTCTTTTCTCGAACGGTCGCTGCGATATATGTTCTTCTCTTTCCATCATTTTGTTTTCTTTTTCCGAGTGGTTTGTACCCTGTTTTTGTTTTTTTGTTTTCTCGCGGCGTCGTATGTGCCGGGTTTTGAGACCACGGGCTCCCCATTTTTTGTGGACTATAGAGCTAATGTGAGAAACAACAACAACAACAACAACTCGTACTGCCAGCTCAAAGACAAAACGTGATCAGCTACTGAGTAGCTATCGTAATGGGTTGGCAATTCGAGCAAACGGACGTGCCTCCGTCGTGCATCTCAAGTTCTCTTCGGCACTCATTCGCCAAGGTTCGTTTCCCTCGCAATCGATTCTGACCCCATGTCTATCTATAGAGTACGAACATCTTTTTGTTTCGAAGATGGCTTACTGCGTGGGCAACAGCCTGTGGTTCTGAACCGACCGCGGTTCGAATTCTACAGTATTTCGGTACAGTCGGTGTATCTCACATGCCTATCCTTCGCCGGCGTTTAGTTTGTGGTCGATTGCACCGTCTGACTCCACGCGCTCTACACGTATTTGTCGACACACTTATTTGTTGACAGGGGCGGTAGGGCAAAATGCTTGCGAAACAGTCCGAGAAGCACACAACTTCCAATTTGGTGCAGAAAGCAATGGGTTCAAAAACAAATGCCAGACGGGAGAAAAATCTGTCCGAAGAACGGATAGACAACACTACAAGATACACATAAATGACCAAAGCATCGTCTTATCGAGCCTGTTTTCCACAAGGGGATAATATATTTGTACTCAAACACACAGGGAAGCTACGATGTATCCGTCACCACCTCCACCCGGATTTTATCTACCAGTTCGTAGCGTGTAGTGTTTCTGTAAGAATCAAATCGAATCAACCGTTGCCTGCTCGTAACTCGGCCATCTTGTGCGTGATAGGGCCCATGTACATGGTGCTCAATCCCTCTACATCGTCCCCTCCACTAGCCTCGGATCCCCCCTGGCTATTGAACAACCGTTCGCCGCCCACGCTCGACGATGGGATCGATCCAGGACCCTCGTCCCCCCTGGACAGCGTGCGGTACCCGAAAGGGTTGTTTTCGACGCCCCACTCCCCCTCCCCTTGAGTTGATTTTGTCTCCGCTCCGCCGCTGGCTCTACGCACGTGCGCGCCGTCGCTACCACTCCCACCTGATGGATTTTCACCAGCATTCGAAACTCGATTTCCGGTCCTTGCGTCTTGTTCTCCTCCTCCTACTGCTCCTCCTCCTCTTTGTATTCTTCCCCCTCCGCCCCTTTTCCGGCCTCCTTCCGCAAGGCGTCGCTCGAGGGCTGCTAGCCTCTCCTCGTACATGGCGTGAACATTTCTTCCAGTAGCGGCCGGACGGTTTTGCTGTGGTGGCGGCGGGCTGATTTGTGCGCCTTGGTATCGCCGCGCAGCGTTTGCCCTCCCACTGCTGCTACCCGCACCCCCACCATGAGATGGTCTGCATGGATGCATCTCTACTTCGTGCCTACTCCGAACTTGCCCCCCCCTGTCGCCACCTGGTGGCGCTGTCCCGTTTGGTTCGTTAGATCCGTAGCCACCGGTGCCATCCTGTGAACTATCGTTGTGTTGGGTTCCGCCACGACCACCTCCTCTTGCAGCCGCTGCCGCCGCCCGCGCACGACTCGCCTCGGTCGCTTTCGCTCGCTCCTTCCTCATCCTGTCCACCAACTCCGACGTGCCCAGCCGCCCGTGGACCCTCCCCGTAGACCCGAGTCCAGACTCCGCCGGGCGGCCGTAGCAAGGTCGTCCATGTCCTATTTTGGGGGAAGTCTCGTCGGTAGGTCTGTCCGGGGCGTAAGAGAAGACTCCCCACTCGCCCTCGCGCATTGGTCGCTTGATGGCGATCGGGGTTCGGTCGACCGCTGATTGGCTGGCGCCGCTTCTCCGAGCGTTCCAGTCGGCGTCTTCTCGCGCGCGCCGTTGCTCGGCTGCAAGGGCACGCCTCGCCTGCGCCCGGATCTGTGAGGGTCGGGGTGTTGGTGAGCGTGAGTTACATGTTGCACAAAGGTATCGGAGGTGCGCGTGTAGTCGGGCGAGGATAGCGTACTCTCATGTTTTGCATGCCTCAGCGGTTAGGCCATTGAACACGCGTCGTCGAGAGGACGGAGCATTGTTCCCGTAGGACCAATCACCAATCGTTAATTCTTACTCTACCAGAGGTGGCTCAAGATCCTTTTTCTTGTCCGTCACAATATTGCTTTCCCTATCCGTTATATCCTATCGATATCGCTTCCCCCCTTTCCAGTCCACTTCCTATGCCCCAGTACAGCTAACGTCTTTCCTGCCTATTCCGAGCCTCAAACATTTCTATGTACCTTCCTTCTACTTTTCGTAGCTCAGTCATGTACGTTTCTCTATCTAGAGAAGGATGGAGTAATTTCTTATAGAGGTCAGCCGTTCAGCAACTTCTGCGTGAGGTGTCAAAGACGACAGCAACGTTCTCTCTTAGGTGAGAATGCTCCGTTCACGGTTACGTTAGGACCAGCTGTGACGCGCTGTCTGGCCATGTGTCCGGAATAGTAGCGATCATCCAATAGACTAGGCCACCGTGCGACACAGCGACACTCGTGACATGAAGTGGCAGACCGTTTCACCTTGGCGGCGTAGTCGGCCTGGCGGGTGTGCTTCTCCTCCACCTCCTTCCTCTTCAAAACTTCGACCTGAATTCGCCACAAGTTGCGAAAACGCGGGGAGAGGCGATAGAAAATCGGGCAGGGAGCGTAAATTATGACTCCAAGGACTTTGGGGAAGAGAGTGTTCATCTACCAGGGCCCAGGCTAATGAGAGCGAAATGTTTCCACGAGACACGCCTCGGGGTTCATTGCCGGCATGGACACGTTGTTTCCTTCGCAACCCTTTGTTTCTGAATGAACGCGAGGGGATATCTGGCCTCTTTTATGTTCTAAACCAAACTCTACGAAGTCATGTACGCCACGTCACGCCACCAAACCTTACGAAATAGCATCCCTACAGTAGTTCGATAGAAGAGCGTTGCGGAAATAACTTCCCGTCTCGAAACTAGATCTACGTTCATCAGATTGGAATGTATGCCCTAAGCTCAAGGTTTCCAACGCTGGATCCCGTCGCTCGTTGACGTACCTCTTTTCTTAGCCGTCTCTCCTTCAGGATCCTTTCCCGAAACGTCGACACGTGCCTCGGCTTCCGCCTCGCCCGCGCGTCTCCCAGCCCCCCGTCCCTCTCCAACGGCGGCAACGAGACCGCGGTAGCCCCGCCGCCACCCTCTGCCCCCATCTGCCCCCTACCCATCACTCCTTGTCCGTGCTCCCCGTTGTTCCCGGGGGCATCCGTGGAGGAAGATCTGCTGGGGCTAGAATTTCGTGATTCCCCCCGCGTCCGTAGCAAGTTGGAGAGACCCGTCGTCGGTGAGGGCGGGGAAAGGGTTGAAACCGTCATCGGATAGGATGGGACTGCTGTATGTAGGTGGTGAGGTGGAAGTCAACGTCTACCTGTGAGGGTAGTACTAGCTCACCGGGGTGGGAAATCGGTTTGGGAAGGGGTTCGTATGTACGCGCCTTGAAATAATTTGGGATTCTACGAGGGAGTTTGAGGAAGCCGTGTTCGTTTCAGTCACGGATGCCAATGATGTGGGGGGTCGATGCAACGTGCTTCTTCCCGCGTATTTCCAACCAGATAGGTTCTACTTGTCTGTCCGTTTGAAACGAATTCAGATACTAAGAATTACCCACAGTACTCCAACGCGACCAGTACAAAAACACTATTTTATGTCACTAGGGAAAAAGTGGTATTTCTGCACTATCGAAGCCATATCTCAAACTGAAATTACAGGAAACCAACGGTCAGACGGTCCGTTGCGAAAGGCCCCGCACCCTTCTTCCTCTTGAAGGCGCTGTAACCTCCGCTGACGCCTCTTCATGTCTTCCATCACCCTAGCTCGTTTGGCCTCCAAAGCAGACTTCTCGGCCATGGCCTGCCTTACGCGCAGTTCCTGCATCGCAGAGCGGTGTAACGTAGGTGTAACGCGCACCGTGGTTGTTTCTCGAATCTTAGGGTGTGGTGCTGCTGTTGTACACAAACCGCAGAAGGCGGCCAAACCGATATGGATAACCGAAGCATCTTTTGCTCGAGGCCAGGGTCACCAGAACCTCCGGGACATGATCATCCGACGCTATGAAACGGCCTTGTGGCCTTACAAAAAAAAGACAACGTTTTTCTGCCCTCCAATACCTCAGGAGAAACACGCAGGCTTCCCACGGGTGCAAACAAAAAGGCAGCCACAAGCATGAAGTAGCACGTGCCTCCGCCTTTACGAGCTCGACCTGAACAGCCTGGAGCTCTTGCTTTGACTCTTGTTCCTTCGCCATCGCACGGGCCCGTCGCTCTCGAGCGTGCCGTCGTGCCTACTTCGGTTGGCATGCGTACAGACAGACCAGGGAGCGTTGTCGACTAGACCATGGCTTCATCCGTTGGCCGATCCAGAGGTCAGATAGATCAGCATCGCTGTGAACCACCCGGTCTACTCAACACCTCACAACGACGGACCCCAGTAGAAGTATGTTGGCTTCCTGTCTGTTGTGCCCCGCACCTGTTCGCGCGCCCGTTTCAGCATCTCTTCCTCGGTGCCTCCGCGTCCACTACTGCCGAGATCCTCACCGACTTCCCCCCTATGTCGTACCCCCCTTGCATGGCGTTCCTCCGCTTTGCCGGTCCCCCCCTGGGTGGATCCATCGTCCATCAGGCGCGGGGTGCGCGACTTGGGGCTGCTTCCGTCGGCGTGGGCGTGGTCTACTGGCCCCCTTTCGTTCCCGTCCGTGACCCAAAACGCAGACCGACCCGGGGACGGATGTCGGCGGGACATAGATTTCGTCGGCGGGGGCGAGCGGAAAGTGCTCGATTGCAACTGCTGGGACTCCTCTTCCGCCTCTGCGGCTGCCTCGGCCGCTTCCGCGGCGTCCGCCGCCGCCTCCGCAGCCTTTACCGATGCCGCCGCTGCCCTCGCGGCCTCTTGCGCCGCCGCCGTCGCCGCGGTCGCCGCCGCCTTCCCGGGGGACATCCAGGACCGTGGCTGCTGGTGCCGCTGGGAGGGGCTGAGAGACCTGGCGGTCAAGACTAGTGCCGCGTAGTCCTCGGGCGAGCTGCTGGGGAATCCGTCCCGGTCGTTAGCGCTTGGTTCTTTTGCGGATGTGAAGTGTTTCTGAGCGGTGGGCACGGGAAGGGATCACAAAACGATCTTCAGGATGTGTAGGCGTGATGACCCTGTGTGTTTTGGCTTTCGAGAACAACGGCGTATTTGGTATGAATTTTGTGGCGGCAATGAGTCAGGGCATATACTGAGGGACGTGTGGTCTCGCCCCACAAAACAAGCTGAGAGACGGTGGTGATCTTGGACGCGTGGGTTCTGAAATGACCTGCCATGTATCTAGTGCAGGGCATGATAATGGCAGAAGATATGGGGAGCCGAAATACCCAACATGAGTCAGTCACTACAACTCGTATCACGAATCACTCCAAAACCTGTTCGTTTCTAGTGTTCTCTTAACGCAAACGAAAATTACATAATCTTTCACACACAAACGTGACACTGCGCGTACATAGGTGTCGGCCCGCTAAACTGTCAGCGTGCTCTGGTCACCTCATGTTGTACATCTACAGCAGTCTTGTTTCGGATCCACCCACCTTCTCATGCCCTTTGGTGTTCCAGCGCCTCACCCGCGATTGTATACGTCTGGCGGCAACATCCTCCCCGATCACATCTTTGCTGCCGTTTCGTTCCTGCCGCTGAGAGGACACCCTCCCGCCCCCCTGTCGTCTACGCTCAGTCCCTTGAATACGCCGAGCTCTCTCGTCTTCCCCTAGGATTTCACCATCCCGGTTGCGTGCCTCCCTGCCACACTTCGAACTCCCGTCCTGCCCCAGCTTCACCTCCTTTCGAGATACTCTTGCCCCCTCCTCTCCGTGTGCGACGACGCTACCGGTATCCCCACCAGCCCAGTCTCGGCTTTTCAGACGGTGGTCGCCACCACGCGTCCCCTTTCTCGCCACCGATCTTCGCCGAACTTGTCTCTGAATGCGCCTTGCTGCATCCTCTTCCCCGAGGGCGTGATCCCTGTTGCACCCAGCGCTTCGTCGAGAATCGCTCTCCAAGCTGACGGTGTGGTTGGTGGCGAGGCTGAACTTCTTGTCGGAGATGGCGGCCTCTCGCTCCTCTTCCGTTAGAGGGTGACTCGTGCCGTGCAGTCTTCCGGTGCTTGCGACGTGATCGACCTCGCCCGCGATTTCAGAATCTCCCCCGCCGTGGCTTCCACGAGTTCGGTGCCCACCGGAGGAAGAGTCTCCATTGAACGTAGTCGGGGATCGGTGGTTTGTTTCGCCCTGGCTTGTAGCTGATTGGTTTCGTCGTTGGTGCTTTCGGCGCTCACGACGCCCCCGTGTTGTTGCCTGGATTTTGGTGGCCGCCTTGTGCCGCCGCCGGATGTGTCTGCCTGTCTTCGCCCTGGCTTGACGTGTGCGGACCTGGCGCTGAATCTTTGTTGCGGAAGCGGCTTCTTGCTGCTTTTTACTCTGGGAAGAACTCCGTCTCTTTGTCTTTTCGATCCGACTACTACTGCTACGTTTGGGCTTTGTTGCGGAGTTGGTGCCAGATGAACCGGCCGAGCTGGTCCTGGAGAGGGCATCATCGCTGCTGTTGTCACTGCCGTTGTCGGTAGCTTTTCTATTTTCTTCTCCTTCGGTATCATCGTCAACCTCCTCCTTGCGTCCGTCATAGGTTTTCTCGCTCGCTTCTTCTTGCCCTCTACCACCGCTACTGTCATCGCTACTGCTGCCGTCGCTGTCTGATCGAGCGGAGTCCCGACTACCTGAGCGTGCCGACTCGCCTCGCCCGGCGCTGGAAGAATTTTCCTCGTTTTCCGACTGCGATGGTGCGCTCTGCGGCCGTCTTCTGACCCTACCACTGGTCCCACTGCTGCTGTTCGGCCGCCGCTCGCTGGCCTCCGATTCGCCATCGGTCCCAGCGGTATTATTGCTCCTTCGGGTGGTAGACGATGATGCGGCTTCGTTTGCGTCCGACCCGTCCTGCTGCGATTGTCGTGAGGAAATTGGTCGAGAACTACGACTACTGCTGTTGTTTCCATCCGAGCCCGAATCTTGCCGAGAAAGTTCATCAACCCGTCTGCTGTCGTTCCTGCCGGTGGATTCATCTCCACTTGCGCCATCATCATCCTGCCGGTCGCTCCTCCTGTCGTCCTCAGATTCGCCATCTTCGGCACTCTTTTCCCATCTGCTGCCGTTGGTGCTGTCGTTCATCTCCGTACCGTTGGAGCTGTTGCTGCGAGGAGATTCCCGAGATGATCTCGACGACGACATCTAGACTATCGGCTGCTATCGCTGGGCTTCGTGTAGGAAGATAAAAGATATTGGATGCTTTTATGTTGCCGTATGCACGCCGGTTACAGCCGTTCCTCGATCTCTACCAGTCTACCGGCGTTTGATAGCAGCAACTCATCTGCAACTTGTACCTATCGCTTTCCGTGGGCACCTTTACGAGGATACCGAGAGCGGAGGTGGGGAGCGGGGGAGGGGGGGGAGGGGGG